TTTGCAACTCTTCAGCCTGTTTGTGGTTTCACTGTTGTCGAGTGAATCCACTCGACTTTTCCATGTAGTTTCATGTAGTATTACTTTGTATATAAGTGATTTATTTTCCACTGATAATTCCGTGAGTCTTCTATCTAGATCCACTAGATTTAGTATATAGATTTAAGTAATTATTAATGTTCAAATCATCATAATGGTAAACTATCTATCGAGAAAGATTATCCAATTAATCGATCTTAAATTTACTCAATGTTCACATTGATGAACAGATTGTGAATAAAATTATACAACATTTTAAATTCGTAAAGACGATATTAAAGCGAAAAATACAAGAAAATAATTTTATGTAACATTCTGATATTTATATATTACATGTATTACAAAATATATCGTCTTACATAACAGGTAAATTCCTATTTTATAGATATCCTATTATGCATACTAAAAAATGTATTTATGAACAATTTATGATAACATTCATTTTTTATCAAAGTTATGTTTGAAGTTAAGCATTGATAAATTAAAAAAAAAACAAAGTGTTAGTAAATATATTTACATTGTCTTATCAGATTCTCGATTTGAAATGTGCCTATCTATTATGTGTTTCTTCACGCACAATGTATTTTATTTACAAAATATTTTCTATTTATGTTTGCAAAGTATCGAACAATTACATATTTTTAGTATACTAAGAGACAAGGATACTTAATTTTACTTTGTAAGTGTTGTGTGTAAATGATGTAGTTTTTAGTGAATATTTATAAATGTGTCTACGAACATTCTATAAACACACATGGATCCAATGTGAACATATAATTATTATGACTTATGAATACCAAAATGAAGGTCTGTAGCTTCAAATAAAGAATATGAGAGTATGAATGTGCAATATAGTTTTTTAAGATTTTAGAAGAAATTGATTTCTTGTATTTTAAAGCATCAATTTAAAAGAAATTTGTGAAATATTACTAACTTATGAATGAGCATATATGGATAATTTAGACTGATGAATAGCTTGTATCATTATTGTAATTTAACATATATAGGATATTTGTATAGCTGTAACCATTATATCTTGGTTACAGCTCGGGATCTAATATTCATAGATTAAATTAAATAATAATAATATTTATTGGTCACAATGCGACTAAGTCTTTCTGCCTAAATGTAATATTTTTCTTTAAATAATATATAATTGTTTATAGGAAGATTTCCGATGGGAAATCGTTCCGCTCCATGTTTTTATTTTGTTTTTCTGTTTTTATTTTCTTTTTTTTTTCTGTCTGACAAAAACATTCAACTTATAGCCCGAGATTGCAGGTTGTGAATGAACAATAAAAGTTAAAAAAAAATAATAATATAAATTTTTTAAATGAATAAATGTTTTGCAATAAGGAAATTAATTTATAACATTCAAACATTTTATAAACATATTGTACATATAATTTGTATATTGCACAAATATATTTTGTATATAACCCATATTATTTAATATAAAATATACTTACCCATCTGGTGGTAACTCTAAATAACCAGACACCATGACAACGTTGTTTGTATCCGGAAAATAGTAAATGTCCGTTAAAGTTTGGGTATTTTGTAGAGTAATTGTAATGTTGAATAAATCATCGCTCATCTTCAGAAGTACAATTCTGAAATTATATTTATTATATTAATTAATGCTAAAAATTCTAAATAATATACAGTGGAAGGTTCTACTGTAATTATTTTGTTGTTGTGATTGTATTGCATATGGGTCGATAGACCAACGATTCATACGCTTTTTATATTTCCTACATTTTAGTCTGTAATTATTTATAAAATTGTATCGTTGTTTCAAAATATTAGGGGAACCGGAAAGTAATGTCTTTTCTTTTACATTAAATTCAAACAAATAATTTTGTTTTTATTTTTAATCAATTATGTAACCACTCTCGTTATAAGCAATTAGGTTTTGAGCAAAATATCTGGAGATTGTATTTTAGATATTATCCAATTTTTTGTCAAATAAAAAGTGTTGTAATGATGGGAATTAATGGAAATGCGATGGTGCAGTATAGTGGGCGAATATAGTGAACTCTCACTCCAAACCATAACATTTTTTCCAGGGTTCAACTTCATGAGGTTTTACATTATCGTGTTAGAGAATAACGCCTTTTCTACTGAGAATCCTTGGACACTTTTCAATTAAATATTGAAAGCATACATATGTACTCTTCTGATACTTGGTTACCCATTTCACCCAACAAGTCATATTAATGTTAAAATGTTTTTGGCTCGGCTTTGAAATACATAATGATCTGATAAATGATAAATTTGCGTAGATATCACATTAGTTTCCGGTCCCCCCAATAAGTAGAATAATTTACCTCATTCTAGGTTTCCCACTTAGTGAACGCCTGAATTCGATCGGATCAATCAAGTAGTTAACTATTTGATAGTTTTTATCTACAGCTAATATAACTGAATCAATCTGTATAACAAAATAAATACATATAAGCGATTATAGTATATAATTATTTCTGTTACCTGATGTTCTATAGCAATTAATGGTACTTCGTGGGGTCCCTCCGGCGACTTCAAAAATCCACATTCTGTGGGTACATATACAGTGATATTATACTGTGAATTGTTATGAGCGGGAATATCTTCAAAACGATAACGTTCTGTGGAATTTAGGTGAAGAAAACCGTTGAATGGATTTTTTACATCAACGTCACATGGTAGAGTATTCACGAAGTTCACTGAAGCCCGATTATTGCCGGGCATTTTCGGGTAGTTCCTTTCCAAAATTAGCTCTAAAAATCCGGCGCATATGAACGCCAATCCGGCAATCAAACCGCCCACAGCCATCCTATGCAAATGGTTATCCAAACAATTTCTTCTACTCAATAATGGGTATAAGAATTTATCGAAGAATGGGATGAGAAAAAGAACTAGGGCCGGGTTTATAACTTGCATTTGATCGGGCACAATTTGTAAACCCCATATGAAACCGTTCATCCTGCTAGCCTACAGAATATATATATATAAATATATTTATTTAATAATTAATAATACTAAGTAATTATATAATAAATGGTTTACTTGAAAAGTCCACCTTGATCCTTGCTGATCAAACAACGACCAGAATAAGGGCAAAGGCGCGTAGAGGCACAAAACCGCATATACTACTTTCATATCGTGAATTAATTTTGTGTTAAACTTCCCTTTCGCATAATCCAACCAATGTGATGTATTTTCTCTTTTAACACCGCCCACCTTTTGAGCTAAAGCGTACTTGATTACAAAAACTTAAATTAAATTTCACCCTATATTTCTTAAACTTACTGCAGTGCAATTAACGAATTGAAGCATAACATTTCCTTTAGGCGATTTCATCCGATACCAAGGCTTTCCCAGTATAAAAAGAACTAAAATTACATGTCGTAAACAAATTTGATTAAAACTTTCTACTTACGGAGAGAAAGAAGCATCAAGACTGCTGGAAAACCGAATCCTAAGGCGTAACAGGTGTCATCCCCGAAACAGGTTACGGCCTTTCTGAGGATTGGCGTCAAAATCATGCCCACAAATCCGCCCAAATTTATAGCGAAATAGAAGAGCGAGAAAAATTGTTGCAGCTTATCCTGTTGTATCGGAAGCTTGAATTGATCGCCGCCGAATGCAGCCACGCAAGGCTTCGTTCCTCCCGTTCCAATTGCTATAAAACCCAATCCCAAAATCGTAGCCAAACTGAAATGAACATGAGAAATGTATATTGAGCTTATTGACGTTATTGTTAGATAACATTACATAGGCGACATTTCAATAGTAGGTATAGCTGCGAATATCATGAAAATGTTTCCCAATATATATATTAAAGAGAAGTATAAGATGGTTCGATATCGTCCTAAAAAGCTGTCGGCGCAAATCGCTCCAAAAATCGGAATTAGATAACACATCATGATGAATACGTGGTAAACGATTGTCGCACTATTTTCGGCTAAAAGTAATTCGTTTCTTAGGTAAAGTGATAAAATTGCTGAAAATGTTTTATATAATTCAATATGTAAATGAATAATATATATATATATCTTACTTCTTAGTCCACAAAACGAAAAGCGCTCCCAAAACTCGGTTCCAATAATACATATTATGGATATGTAAAGTGCGGATTTCTGCAAATTAATAACATGTACAAACTGAATTACTGTTAAGTAAATTAACTTACGTCCATAGACAAATCAATCTTATAGATCGTAGTCGAAACATCATCACATAAATAAAAGTCAGATTTGACGTTTCAAAAAGTTGAAATTTTGTTGCATTTGTGTTCATATTGTATCATCAATACAAAATGTCATTAAATTAATATTATGAAAAACTATTTTTCTTTAGACTTCGGTCGTTAGCCTTTTGACCCAAATTAGGACCCATAAAAAATAGTAAATAAATAGAGAAATTATAATACAATCGTAAAACTAAACTAAAAAAACTACAGGATGCTACATTTACATAAAATAAATAAAAAATGGGTAAATATATTTCTTATATATGGAAAATTGTGGAATACTCATTGTCATTGCATAAAACGTATTTAAGTGTTGAGACTAAGAAATTAATATTATGCAGATTGTAAATAATAAATGTATTCAAAAAAATATTTTGCGTAAATATAATTGAATGTAAACTATAAATATAATTCATGTAAACAATTTCATATTAGATTGGTGATTAATTTTGTCATTTGTGGAATACCATGGAGCATTGATAACTTCTCTTAAGCTTTTAGATTCAAACATATAGTTTTTATTATGAATTTGTGTATCAATACTTTATTTCCAATTGAGATATGCGATATGTCAATACCAGCTGTTTTAATATCTTTCTTCCTAGTTGTCGATTGAGTGACATGTAGTCCAAGTTACCTGGTTTTATACACTGTTGTTGATAGTAATTAATTTTATAAATACATGAAGTTATGGCAAGCGAAATTTGGAATGGAGACTCCAGAACTGCGTGATTTTACGTTCTTCCTCTTCAACGAGTTCTGTCCAGAAAGGAAGACCTGATCGCTTCTTGGCGAACTACCATCTGGTTTTCGTTAGGAAGTTCGCGTAATAAGTTTTAAAATTTGAAGGATTTAATTTTATGTCTCGAAACAGCTGCTTAACGTTTTAGTTAATTAATCAAAAATGGTAAAAATACCGACAGAGAATTGAATGAGCATTTTTATATAAATAAATATAAAATGTTTAAAGAGCGGACCCCGGATCTATACAAGTAATATAAACAATTGGAGTCAGGCATAAAACAGTTCCTGGCGTAGTGGTCATTTTAGTTGCATCTTAGTAGTGTCGTTTGTGATCACACATTTTTCAAAATTTGCAATAAATATTAATATATTTAATATATTAACAAAACAATCATTAATTATTAATGTAACGTCGAATACTAGACAAAACACTCCAGGTCTTGCTGAGAATTAAAATGTGCACGCAGTAGACAAATCGAATTTTATGTCTTATCACTCAGACTTGTTCAAATTTACATATTACATATTTACAATATTACATAGTACATATTGCTCCTGCAATTCTCTTTCTGTGTAGACACTGAGGAGTTTCACTATGTGTTTTCCTTCAATATTACAAATTGCCGGAATTTTTTGTCAAAAAATAACCGGTTAAAACAAGTTTACCGATAATTAAAGCACTTCACTACTCATTTAGTAATCAATAATATTGATATATAATTTACGACTACTCTACAAATCTTGCCATTAATAAAACAAATTATTAAATACATAATTATTCTTTCTCTTAAAAAAATAAATCGATGTATTTATAAATGTTGAGTCATTTAAAAATGTAGGTTTTAGATTAAAAAAAACGTATATAAAAAAAGATTTATTCGTTAATAATTTGTTACATCTTATATAAAATCTAGACGTTAAATGTTTTCATATATATATAGAATAGATGAATATGTTCCGATATTATGTTTCTCTTTTATATTACATACAATTATAACATTACATTAGTTAACTAACGATATACATATTATTGTGCACAGGTATATACAAAATACATTAATTTATATAGTTATACTACACAAAAAATCAATGTCAAGAAGTCAGAGTTTAAAATCAATAATAGTTTATATAAATAAAGCTTACATAAATGTTTACTAAAGTATACACGTAAAATAGATTTGGACGAATAAAACCAGGGAGTCGAAAATAATAGAAATTTTTATTATAACCGGAACAAACAATTTCTCAATTGAAAAACCAAAACCGGAACGAAATTTTAATTACGGTTAATTTCGGTTCAATTTATAATGTAAACCATGTATAAGAGAATTTTTTATAAAATAAACAAGTACATAATAAACAAAACCATCAAGGCCTCAATTCGTGGGAATGCTTAATCATCAATAAAATTAGAGTCTCAATCACCACCAATCAACCACCGACTAAAAAGAGAAAATTTCAAGAAGGAAGGGCAAGCACAAGTCTTGTGCAGCTAACATTAGAACAAACTCAAATTACAGTGATTAAAAATATTACTGGAAACATGAATGAAAATACATTACATTACTAATTCTTTTTTATTTCTTTTATATTTTCAATTTTATAATTGAAAACAATAGAAAATGAATTTTGTAAATAAAATGAAATCAAAATTTGATTGACTCTCTGAATAAAACATAATAAAAATTCATTCGTTGTTTAATGAAATTATCTAAATATTTCAAAAATTCAGTTTTGTACAATTGTAAAATATATAATAGCAATAAAATGATTTAAGAAAATGAATTTATGTATTTGAAAAATTATTCTTTCAACTTTTAAATATGATTTCAACAATATACTTCTTGATAATATTAATGACTTTTGTGTATTATGTATTTTTTTTATAACAATAGGTTTATTTGTTTATCACAACATTTATAAGTGAAAGATTAGTTGATACTAATATATGTATACATATATTTATAGAGATATATTCATAAGTTAATATCAGATACATATTATATTTAGAATGGCGCTTCATATTTTTCTTCGGTCCGAAAAAAAAAATATAGCGTGTGTGTAAAAATAATTATTTAGAAAAAAAAAACAAATATATTACATCAGAAAATATTCCCCATTTTATGAACTACACAAGTGTACACATATGCATATATTTCTATTCATATAATATTTTAATTGTATATCATACTCGCACATTGAACACTTAATTATTTACAACATTTTTTTTATGTTAAATATGTTTTAAAAGATATCTGTATAATAATTTCGTTGTACGAAAATAAAACGAATTTAATCGAAAATAGCGAACGAATTATATAATACAATATAAGCGTTTAATAAATTTATACATGTATAACAATAATGGTCCCTATCACATTAAACACGTGAAATTACATAATTTTTTTCACCCTCTAATTAAAAATTACCATATTATTCTCTTTTTTTATTATTATTATTTTGTATTCCTCATTTATGTTATTCTTGTTTATTTTAATCACAGATGGGAAGAAGGCAACATTTACACTTAACATTAATTAATAATTATATAACGAAGCAAAAAATATTTAATAAAATAATAGTTAAAGCGGCTCAGAACGTGAAACGTGAAATTCGACTAGCCTCAGTGTAAATTTTGATTTGAAATTTGTTTAAACATTTCGAGGCTTTTATTTTTATATACTCAGTCTGTTAATTATTTAATTTAGTTATTTATTACTTTATTCCTTCTCAATCTCGTTTATAAATACATGCGCATCACAAATTACTTTTAATTATAATATTTTATTAACTATATTAATTATATTAATCCCCCCAGTATAAATTAAAATATATCATAAAAAGCGGACGATTTTTTTTGTTATTTTTGTCAAATTTTCGAATTCTTAGATCAGCGGACGTATGTTGTTTATCTTGGCTTATATATTAGTACAATAAAGCGTGAGGAGTTGTGTTTTCTTAAATTGTTTAAATTCCAATAGCAAAATTAATTTAATTCCATTGGATTTTGGCCAAATAATGATCATGGAGTGATTTTGTATTTATTAAAGAAATAATAATTGATAACTAAGTAATATAATAAACTTAACGTTTAACGTTAAGTTTAAGATTGCATGAAGTAATGCATTAATGACTAACTTAAATAATGTTTTTTTTTCTGTTGTGTTACTAAATATGACTGGAATTGTTATTCTAATACGTTTAATATATTTGATATTGAATAAAGATGATAAACTCATCTTTCCTACATTGCATTTCTAAGTAATATTTAATCTAACATTTATATATATGTATTTATATATTTACTTACTATTTTTATTGAGATAATATCTACCATTTCTTAAGAATTATCATCAAATCTATGATTTATGAAGTTAATAAAAAAAATGAAATTTATGTTCATGATAGTTGTAAATATGATATAATCATATATAATATCCTCGTTGTAATATCTATTAAATAAAATACCGCTAGAAGAGGACGGTTTTTATTTAAATATAATGAAATATTCAATTAAATTTTGAAAGATTTGTTATATTACCGAAAAGATTATTTGATTTTTGATTTAACGTTTTAATTTTTTGATGATTTTTTATTGTTGCAACGTTTGTATATTTGTTAGGAGATTTCCTTCTGATTTGTACAAGTACCAGGAAATCGTCAATTTGCATTATTTTTTGCAATTTGGCATACAAATACTAACACTACTTTAATAAGGTGCCAAATTTTGTATGAATATTATATTACAAATTGAACTGAAGAATTAATTAATGGAAAATTAAGCAAACGACATTTTAAAATAATAGTAATTTTCATTATTTATAATTATGAATTGGTTTCTTTATTTGTGTTGAAGGTATTTGATATATTTTTAAGCCATTATTCCTGAATGTATCTTACATTTTAAGATATAGTTTTACAAATTGATATATTTTTTTAAATTGTTTTTTTTTATATAGATTATTATAAAATATATCACTCTTTCAGAGAAGTCTGGAATGCGTTGAAATTAATGGAATTAAATTGAAGTTTGCCAATATTCTCGAGTTATATAATTTTTCAAAAAATATATCCGAGGACGTTTCGTTTTTTGCTTAGTTAGTTTCAGATACTAGAAGCTACAAAGGCTACAGTATATATAGTAAATATTTGTTTACCTTCCTTTCAATATCGGCTAAACCCAAATACCCTGCTGATTGCTGGGGCGGAATTCGTCTCATCATAACTCGTACACGTCTCGCCCGTTCAGGCGGCCAGAGCAGCGTTTTCCCTGCGCTTCTCTGCCCCTTTGTGGACTACAATACATGTTGTATCCGGGTATAATGTGCACCCTGACATCACCGGAAGGCCGGGTACCATCCGGCCGCTGACGCCGCGAAAAAGATACGGTCGTTTTGCAGCAACAATAGTGAAAGAGGTTCACGTAAGCGCCACGGAAGTGCCGATTAGTTACACAATACAGTATATTGTTGACGCAGGATTTACTGATTGCAAACCATGCGATGTGATAGAACACGTTGTCGGATACCGTTCTAACAGTAGTGTCGAGGGCGAGTACAACGCCGAAGGGTAGCCAGAATACAATGAACAGAACAAAACTATAAATGTTCGTGAGCATTAGGTTGTAATCCCAGCCGAAAGTGACCGGCGGCTTGAAGCTCGGTCTCGACTTAACCATGCGTATCTTGTATTTCGCCTTAGCGTAACAAAATAGAGTTAGAGTCAAGGGCACAAGGACGAAGATTACGGCGACGCTTGCCTGATATGGAAATAACCCTTTCCATTTACGCCTGCAATAGTCAAACGATAGATCGCTTGTGAATTGCAGACCTGATGTTATAGCGCAGACAGTCCAAATGGTGAGCAGGATTGTAGTTATCCTGCATGGAGTCAGTACTTCATAGACACGCGGCGTGCAGCATAACCTTATGTAATTCTCCACGGCAATTGCCGCGATTGAAAGGACCGTCACCAAGAAGCATAGAGCGGCAAGGAACCAATGGAATTTGCAGACCGTCAGCGTTTCCGGAAGGTCTGCCAAAATCATAACCGCCGACGCCGGAACCAGTAATCCAGACACCAGCAAATCCGCCAATGCTACATTCACGACGAACGCGTTTCCTTGTGAACAAAATAGGAACAAAAATAATTTTGATTATAATTTGGAAAATTGCTCGATTTTTTACCTCTTTTCCTCAGGTAGTCCTCGATCATCACGGCGCTGATCATGAATACATTTCCTATGCTTCCTATTGCGGACATTGAGGACAGCAGTAACAGCCGGGCGACCCTTGACCAATCGGAACTTAGTGTCACAGGGGACACGAATTCAGCACCATAATCTGTTCCAGTCATATTGGAAAGCATTACCCTAAAATTAAAAAAAATATATTATCGTAAATAATCTAGATATATTTTCGTTACAACATAAAATATTAATTCATATCATTATATAATATTTGTTCTATATTCAGTAGTGACCTTAATCCACCACTCACTTGTCTTACATGAAAAATTAAACCTTTCAGAATATATTTTTTTTTTATTTACTAATCAAAGGATGATACTAACTATCTTGGGATGTTAAATAATTAAGAATTAATATGAATTATGTTTGTATAAATTGATGAGGTTTATTATTAAAGCAACAAAGTATACTTTTTTCATAAAACATTTCTAATAAATCTAAAATTATTTATGGTTATTATGGTAAGAGTGTACAGATTAGCATTATTTATTTCTTGGGTAATAAAAATTGCATGGTCCATGAAAGCTTTGCGGTATTTTAATATAAGATTATGTAATATCAACAAGTGAACAATAAAGATGGCAGTTTTGAACGGCTTCTTTATTCTATGCCCGGTCTCTTGGCAATATACACAATACGATGCTAACATAATTGTGCTATTCTTAATAAAACATAAATCACATATAAAATTACATTACAAGACATATTTTTTATTATTAGATCAATGTACACACCAGTCGTTGTTTTCATTTATTTCTCAAGAGAAATGTAACGTAATGGTTATCATTTGCAGGCAATTGAAACATAATGTTACCTATGTGAAAGTTAATATTACTGCATATTTAGTAAACTGTACGAGATAGAAATATGTATTAGTTATATGTTAACATTGTTATTTTGTTGAATCCAAATTATAACAATGTCAATTTATTTAGTATGAGCATTAGTGTGTTTCTCAATGAAATTTATGAAAAACGTGAACGAAGGAAAGTTGGTGGCATGCATTATTAAATATTTTACTATGTAATAAATCTGATATGCCTTGAAAATATAAACATATTAATTGAATTTGAACATTATATACGAAAATGATAAGTCAGAAATATAGAAAAAAAAATGGGTCTTTCATCATGAAGGATGGATAGTCCGTGTAAGGACGAATTTAGCATTCTTTAGCCGAATGATGCTTTAGAATATATTATTTGTTTCATTCAAGAATACTTACTTCTATTTGGTTTATTTATAAATTCATATTTTTTATATTTTCTTATATATGTACGTTTCACATTTTTCAGAATGCCATTTTTTTTTGTATAATTTTTTTGTTACAATTTATATTTTATTGTGTCTCTGGGCGGAAAGCCTTAGGTCGATAGCCCTTTGGTTACAATTGGTGACTAATTTTTTTTTTTAGAAAAATATCACTTATTGTTAAAGTTAGTATACATGTGAAATTTTAATTTAAAAGGTTGAGGGATATAGTTAATGTGTCACATTAAGGTTGGCGTGGGCCCTAGATAAGAAAATGATGACAAGCGTGGCGAATTATTTTTTTTTGTGGATAAATAAAGAACGACGGGAAGACTACCATTTGAGCCCGTCTAATATGGCATATATTAAAATCATATTTATTAAGTTTTAATTCTTCATTGGTTTTTACTAACTTTATAGTTGCTACAATTAATTTGAATAAAACAGTGAAATTATAGAGATATAGAATAAATAAATTGTTAAATTTTCTACTTAGGTTTAAATATATAAAAATCTATTATGACAACAACAGTGAGTTTTATGTATATGGCAATTGAGTTCTATGTAATATTTCATTATATTTTTTTGTATTGTATTCGATATTTAAATTGACAGCCGTTTAGTAAATCGAAGAATATTAAAGAGCACACGTGTTGTGAGTTCAAAGACGAACTGCTACAACTTAATGGCAAGGTTAATATATATACATGTATATATATATATATATATGTATACATGTATGTGAAAGAAAAGAACATTATGTCTGTGGCAATCAGAGTATGTTATTAATAAAATCAATAATGAATATTCAAAACTCAAGTTATTTTTATATTAGAATAATAGTAGGATAAGTATAAAATAGTCCATATGGTAACTGATTATTATATGCTGTAGCATGTAAAGTAGCTTTAACGTTAGAAATGTTGTGAGATTCATGCATCGTATTCCTTTAAAAGTTCTGCCCAACATAGAGCATTTGTGTTTCCTCTCAATTCATATAAGTCCATTTATGTTCAAATTGACATATTTAAATGTTTGCGTTTAATAAAATTAAAAATATACTTCTATAATATCAAAATATTTCACACATTATGAATAATGAAGTATACATAGGTTACTTTAAAAACAATGTTTTTAATTATTGAACTAAGCGTAAAAATGTATTTGTTCAAAATTATCATATACTTAACCGTAAATTATTGTTTATAATAGCTAACATCAAATTATAAACATTACTACAGTCAACAACTAAAAATGGACTTAGGCCACTTTCTTAATAAGAAGCAGGAGCATTACTATAAATATTTAAAATTATAAAATGTCTAAAGTAACTAACAAATATTAAAAAATACATAAACATGTATATAAAAGGATAACGTTGCTTGCCTTTTAATTAAAATGTTTACGCTTTGTAATTAAACATTAACAAAATTGATAGCATATCAACACAATACTAAACTAACTTTATAAGTAATCACACATAATCTAACATACTTCTCAAACAGCTCAATACATTTATACTCTTAAAGCATGGATAGTGTACATAAATCTTCAAACATTACCATTGAGTTATTTTTTATTCGTTTCAATTTAATAACTAAAGTACTATTGATTCATATCGGTATACAAAAAAGTGATTGCACGTCGATATTTGGCTTTGTACTGTGGACATAAATCAGCCGTTTGTGTATTGGCGTTGTCCCCATTTCACTTCGACTATACCTATATGATCTTTCCATCTCTCTCGCGCACAATTGATTAATGAAACAAAGTGTTCGTCGGGTCAGAAGCCTTTCTATTTTTATTTTCGTTGATTACATATTTCTTTTGCATGTATAAAATATAAAACACACGAAGCCCATGCTGATTTTATACATTTTTTTGTGTGTTATTGCAGTTTTCAGGGAACTCCGGACGGAAACCATGGCAACCTGTTGAGGAGACCAAGTGCTGGACTACGCCCATCCACCCACACACAGCAACGCGCCGTTCGAAACCTTTCATTGATTTTAAATTCTGTTCCCTAAAATATGCAAATATAGTTCGTTTTTATAATGATTCTGACCCTATTTCTACAAATATAGCAGTATTGTTATAAATATAAAACGATATGTTTATACAGAAATAAATATTTATAGTAAACACAATTAATTTCTCTTTTTATGTGGTTTATTTATTTAATATATTTAGTTTCTCAATTAGTCTGGTTTCAAAATCCAGGACTATATGAGATATTGTTGTAGTACTAGTACTGTTTAATGTCTGTGGATTCAAATTGTTAATATATTATACGCATTAGTTAGTTATAGCTTTTTTTTATTTCAATTAATGAAATACAATTCGGAACTAGTGTTATTTTTTAGTTATTAATCTGGCTTCCATTACTTCCAAAATGAATGAAACCTACATACAAATGTATTCAATTAAGAATATTTTTGTATGTCGTAATTATTTTATTTACAATCTATTCATTGTAAATAATAATTAAATTTAATCGCGGTTGAGATTAAACGGATAAACTTTCCATTGATATTGAACATTAATAATTACTTAAATCTATATACTAAATATTTGCAATGCTTCATCCTATTTATTGTTTCACTTTTGTCGAGTAGGTCAATAGCCAGAACATTAGTATGTGACTCCAGTCTATCTTGGTATCCATTAAGTCTTCAGTTGGGCAGATGTCTTTCTTTAATGTGAATGTGACATGCACGAATTTCATTTCGTTAACTGCTATTCTCATTTTTTAAGTCATTCATGTAGCTTATCTAAATTTTCCTGTATATATTCAGATGCTACTGCTGGATTCTCATCTGATACAAAGATTGCTGTTGCAATCGTAGTATTCTTAGTTTTAGGAATATCTGCCGTATAATAAGGTAAAGCAGATGACGATTAGGAATAATGTGACTAAAATATATTTGTTTGTAATGTGTGAACATATATTAATGATCAGTTTATAATTAAAACAATGTTAACTTGAAAATCATCGACTTATATAAAGTCAAAAAACAATTATTAATATTGTCAAATTTATGCAGACTGTTTAATATGCTATGTAAGTACGTAGAAAAAAAGAATAATTATATTTTACATATCACAAATATTTTGAATAAACTTAAAAACTACTCTAATATAGTTATAGTTCTGTCATTAAATATTATTATTTTGTAATTGATTTATCTTTATCGTACACAAGATATATAAGTAATTTCCTATGTATTGTGCTTTTATTCCATTTTTTATTAATTATATTGATTGAATACATTAAATATGGCTTGGGAAATCGTGGGTCCAAATGAAATTAGAATTTCCTAACAATTTAGTATCAATAGGAAAATTTTAATTGGAGCGTCTCAAATTGATTTGAAAGAGAAAAATCATAAGCACCTGTTAATAAAATGACTATGGTGGGGTAGAGTGTCTACAGTATACTTTTTAAGATTTGAGTGCCTAAACAAATTTTCATTTGGACTCCTATAATTCGGGTCCGGTGCCATTGTAGTTCCGCCACTGTTTCCGTAATGATTCGTGTTTTCATGCATTTAAAATTTAATGTATTCCTCCTTTATTTTCTCCGAACTGTTGTTACTCTTCTGTCCCACCATTTGAATAACATGCATTATGTATTTCTTTATATAGTGTTGGTATTTCAATATATATAATATATGTATACTAGACACAGTTATACTTTACATCTTTATTTACTTATTATTTATCAATAAATTAATATATCAGGGCGGAAACACCTATGATAAATAGTTGTTTTGAAGTTGCTGATTCTATTTTTTGTTATTATTATATAACTTACAAAATTTAAACATTTTTAAATTATATTATATGCGTCTTAAGTAAGGTAATGCAAAATA